ATGTGTTACACATTGGAACGGCCCCGGTCAGAGTCATGTGGACGGATGGATGGTGCATAGACTTGCCTCTGGGATTCACACTGCCCCTTACCACGCCTGCTGTGTTTCCGTCCTGGCCGCCGGTCAGCACTGGCCGACCCATTAACTCAATAGAATCGTTGTCTATTCGCTGTTACTGGTTAGTATCTTGGTTAGTATCTACCCATTTGTATTTCTGACAGATCTTTTACCTTTTCCTCCTTGCACAACGCGCTTATGATGATATGAATGATTACGACCCTAGAACGTTTCTCTTGGTCTTAGGTTTTTTTTCGTTGTATGCTAAACAATTCCTTATCTGCACAGAGGCGTGGTTGAGATAAAAGGCAGCTTCACGTGATAGCTCGAGTAGTGAATGCTTTTTCGTTTGAGGTGAGGAAGAACGTAGGTGGCGTCTTTTGCCTTGGCTTGGGCCGGTATCACTTGCAACCATCATCCGATCTATAACTACGCCTCGGGGTGCCTGACAGGAGGCCCGTCGTGATGTCCGATGTGGGACGTAATTCAACGCTTGTGCGTCCCTTGGCTTCAACCTATCTCGTCCCCTAGTCGTCAAACCTACTCACTCAGGGTGGACACATTCTTTGACACAGCTAGTACAACAATTCGAGTCGGACTCAGAGGGAGGGGCTCTATTCAAATTGCTTCCAGTGGTTTCTTTCGCCTTCCTCTGCGCATGTGGGGCGCCTAACTCTTGATGAGCACCTGTTTGAATTTATTACTATATCTTTTATTAAATCCACTTCAGAATGGCAGGTTCTTTTCGCCCAAACAGCTACCATGCGAGCCGTAAGCTTTGGCAGGGTGGGCGCCCATTTCTCGAGGCTGACCGTATCTTGGTGCCTTTTTCGCTGCCCTATCAGCAAACATTTTTTTCATATTCATCTTTATCGAATGGCCGTGACCACAGCCGCCAATTTTCACTCACGGACACCGTTATTCATTACCGTGAAATATCCTTCACAGTCCGCACGGTCCGGGATCAGGCATGTTCACCTGTTCCATCCCCATCGTGAAACAGGCGGACAAGCGTTGTTGTCGTGGCTTAAAGAGAGGGAGCCTTGTTGAGAGCGTAATCGGGAGTTTCTTTTGGTTCCTTTCTCTTTTCCAGGTCGTTTTCCTTTTTTTAAGTTGATAATTGAGCGCTCTTACGCACCTTAGCGCTTTTATGTCGGGGCCCGGGCTGCCTTTAAAAGTGCATTATGCCGCACGAAAGTGGAGGTCAGAATGGCAAAGAAAACAGGGAAGCAAAAAAGCCTTGAGAAACGTTATCAAAAGAAGCCTTTTTGCATTTGATCAGGGAAGATGCAAACACATGTGAAGAACTTGGGTGGATATTTGGATGAATTCTCCCGTGTGGATGGGTAGCACATCAATCGGCGTTTTCTTCTGCTCTCATTGCTGCACTTGTCAGAATCCCTGTTTTGCCCAATCTTAATGTAATTAAGTGGAAGCTTTGTTTAGCGAATGGTGGCTATCAAACGGGAGGTGCGGCCATCGTGATGGGGAAGGGGGAGCCTGGGAAGAAGTCAAGTGCGCTCCATCCTCAAGACCAGGATTGTTTATTTCCAGCCATAAATTCAGCACAGGTATAGCGCTGCGGAGCGGAGCTGAACGGACTTTGAAGCAACTTCACTCGAAGAAAATTATCTTTATCGAGGAGCCTAATAACATCCAAGCAAAATCCGATGGAACTCATACCTCGACCGCTCCTGCTGCGTGAAAGTGCTCTGGACGCGTTACTGACAAGTGGGTCTGAGAGCCGTTATGCTTACAATAAATTTACATCAAAAAACCGCACTAAACGCGTCTTTGGTCGCTGCGTCATTTGCTCTCAAAAACTTAACAACTACAGTCGATGTTTTTGATTCCAGCAACTTTTAAATGAATTCCTATGTTCAAATTTTGGTGTTTTTGGTGTTTCCTCGTTCCTCAGTCAAAATTTCACTGGTCCAAACCAAACCGTAGAGATGATCCATCAATCTTCAGAAAATATCGTTTGTGATTTTTAAAAAGCTGTTCCTTTACTTTGCTCCACTTTTCCTGTCGAGTAGAGTTTATTATCTTTCAGTTAGTAGCCTTATCATTGTGTACACATTTCTTAGCTCATTGACAGTTGTATACGTGGTCGCGAGATTCAAATATCTCAATATTTTTTGTCTTAGGTTTGCAGAAGGGGATTTTTTAGAATGTTTCTATACACGTCACTCTTGTTCTATGTTACTTTACGTCATCGTTGACTTATATATTTTTTTATTTTTTTTTTTTACCAAGAAAATATAAAATATCACAGTTCGTAGCTAGAATTCAATTCAGTGTTGTCGGTTGAGCCGTGTAGTCACTGCGTGGCATTTTTGTAGTCGCGCACTCAATTGTCACTTATGGCGGACAGGGCTCCTTGGTGAAAGTGAAGTTGTGTAGGGGGGGGGGGGGGGGGGGAGCGGCATCCATTTGCATACTTCTCAGGGTGTAATGTGGAAAGATATTCAATGCTCCCATTCTCATGGTCCAAAGAATCGGTCCTGAACCAGGGAACGGGCATCCTTGCTTGTGCCGAGAGTGGAGGGGCTCCAGGCTGGATGACCAGGTTAAAAATGGGATAGAATTTAAGCAGGACGCGCGGAATTGAGGACACTCTCCGCCCCTATCAGAAGTACACTACAAGTGAGCCGATGAGCTCATCTTTACGTTAAAAAGTCCAGAGAAGTGCTCTCTAGTACTGAGCATAAGATAGCAAAGAGTGCTCCCCCAAACTCCATTTTGACCGGGCTAGTCTCGTGCCTGAGAAGTCTTGTTGTCACTGCTCATTGCCAATATTATCCATGTGATTTCAGATGATTCCCCGATTACTACAGTATTTTCTATTCATATTCACTATTACTTTTGTGGAATGCATGCCGCCATTCACAAAAGCAGCGTTCAAGAGCAAACCACTGCATCCTGTTATTCTCAGTAAGTCACTCACGATCACTTGGGCTGAGGCATTGATTAAAGAGCTGCATGAGGAACTTCTTCAGAAAAAACCTATACTGCGAGATATCCTATCGATTAGTCGCTTTTCGTTTAGTTCCCGGTGACGGTGGAAGTCAACTGGAAGCGAATCTAACCGGCAAACCAAGTGTGGTTCATTATATCTGCTCCAAGCAAACTAATGATTATTTTGATTTATGGCTGAATCTCGAGCTGTTCACACCACTGGTTATCGATTGTTGGGTTGATAATATGATGTAAGTTGGACTTTCTACTGGACCTTGGGTTGGAAAACGCCACAAACACTCGTTCCTCTTTTTCTTTTTAATGTGAAGATTCATTTGTTTATTTCAAATTCCGTTTTGTTATTTTTTAGGTTGGTATTCAATTCTACAAGTGGAATGTCCTCGAATATGCCGGGAGTAGACATACGAGTTCCAGGTTTTGGAGGCACAAGTACTGTAGAGTGGCTTGATCCCAGCAAGGTCAATTATTTTTGAATTCACGTTTTAAATTCTTGCATTTTCGTGATATTATTTCCTTTTCCTGAAAGAATAATCGGCGCTGCTCTCTACGCGCACGATCAGAGGATCAAATTCTGGACCGTCCAGAATTACCACGTCTTCCATCCCTCTGGAGGCGGTGGTTGTTGCACGCTTTTTGGAAAGGAAAAATCTCAGCTTCTACACCGGCTGGCTTCCGCGACTTACTGTACAGACCAAGTCGTTTTCGATTTTGCGCTAAAATCCTGGATGAGAATGGAATACGTGGCGTATTTTAAAAAATAGGACTGGAATAGGATTCTAAAATAGGATGCTGAATGCTCTATCCATTGCGATATTCCCTTGTCTTGTGGAAATGATGGCTTTCTCATGAGTGCTGTCCTTCAAGACTTACGGTCAGCATGCGAGGTACGGACGAGCATAGCTACTGGGTAGCAAGAATTTCTAAGGTCACGCCAGGCATGTAACTTTCACTTGGAAATGTGAAGACGTCAGCTGCGCATGAGCCCTCCACATTGTCTTGGAATTTGTATTTGGAGGCTATAGAAAAGCTGGAATATATCGGGAAAGCACAACGCACGACGCTCAATCCATTTTTGGGTAACGCCACGCATTCTTCGTCCTTTCCGAATCTAACATTTGATTGCGGTTCGACATGTATGCTAAATAAACGCTAAGTGCTTAAGCGATGTTGAGAGAGTTGGGGTATTTTGGCGCTTGAAAGTGAGTGCAGAGATGTGAAGTGATATGGAATACCAGTGAAGAAAAAAAGGGAAGAAGCCGTTGCAAAGCTGAAAATAGTCTGTCCCCCACAGCGGTGAAGGAGGTTGGGTTGGGAGGAATGCATGTCCGAACGAGTTTTCGGACATGCCAACCATTGCTGGCTCCGTGAAAGCAGCTGATACGGCAATCAACCCAGCTGATTTCACGCGTTATGCCAGCCACGCACCACTTCCGGCGGTGGGCGGTCATAGCTCACGTCGTCCTAAATGCTAGGCCAGGGTTGTTATAGCCGCGCGGTTTCGAGTCACGAGCGCGGCATCACCTCTATGGTTGCAGACCCAGTCATTCGACAGAGCGGGTTCCTTTAGTCGCCTAATCCCGATCAGTGTCTTTAAAGGCAGATTTTGCGATGAAAAGCAGTCCCTAGGAAATTCAGTGATGCACGAATGAAGAAAAAACTGAGAAATACGGCTTAAAACTCAAGAAATGGGAGCCCTTGCGACTTTCGTCGTTCTGCCCTCTTCAACGCCAACGCTCTCTCTGCCAAACGGCTATAGGCTAAGAAGACAGCGAGAGGAGGCGTCTCGCGCCAAGAGCGCCGTGGGGAAAGCCATGCTAGATCGTCGGAGGCATCCCCTTTGATGCGAATTGCGTGTCGGTTCGCTCCTTTAGGAGGTTCGCCTGTCCTTCCACTATGTATGTTGCCCCTTCTTCGAACTTCGCTCTTATCATGGAGTCTTCCTTCAAATGCGGAGGAAGAAGCCCAGGCATAAGTCGTATTACGATTCCCTTAGAGACCCCTAGAGGACAATCACAGATGTGGCACACCGTGCCTGAAAATTGCCCGACAAGGGCGCTAGGCCTTGCAAAGTTAGCTGCAGCAGCTGCAGTGTTCCCATCCGCAGCAGCTGTTGTCTGGCGCCCTCTCATCTGTTGCGCTCTCTCGCCTCATACTCTCCTCTCCGCGCTCAGTCTCTCATTGCCTTAGCACAGCCGCATTACGAAGGTGAGCAAGCCCTTAACTAGACGTTTCGACAATTTCCTTTCTTTTTTCTTTACTGCCGCCCCATTTCGTCCCGATACTTTCATATTCGTGTACAAAAACCACACTACTCTGATCCTGGGAAATGCCTCTAAGTTTCGGCGATATCTCCTTCTTCAAAGTCTGAAAGATAGGAGCGACAATTCTACAATCGTGCTCATGTTTAAGATCCGTCATTCCATCGCGTATTTCTGATGTGGGCCACCTACCGTAACATGGTCCGATTCTTGAGACTACCCACAGGCTAACAGTAAGCTGAGTAGCAAGCGAGCTGTACAAGTTGGGTTTCTTTGCCCCAAGACGTTCGATAGAGCTCGATGGACTGACAAATATGTTAGTAATGTGTTTTACCGGAATTGGCTCTCTGTCTGTGCGTGAGTTAGCAGCGCCAGCCACCAAAACCCTGCGCCTATCCCCTAGAAATCGCGTAATTTTATCAAGTTAGCTCTAAGTCTCATAAATAGCACATGACTCTCTTCAAAAGCTGAATATGTAGGAAAAGCTAATATGTATGAAATATGAAATACGTAATATGTATGAAAAGCTGAATATTCATAATAAGTGCAGAGCATTTGCCGTAGGAGGCGGGAAGGAATGTGTATTGAGTCTAATAGGGTTGTTAGCAATGACTCTAAAGAGATAATTTCCCTAACAGTAAGTGGGTCTTTGAAGCAAGAACCCCATATCAAATTGGTGCAGTTTAAGTGGTCGATAA